CAATATATGAACACTGAGTTCCCTTGCCAGCCCCGGGAGCGCCGAGTACGAATACCACTTCAGGCAACATTCTGTACAAGTAAGCCGACAAATGCCGGAACGATCGGCTCAACATCAAACGAAGTGACTAATTAATTTAGTCGGATGTAGCTTGTTTTAAAAAACATGCGCACAACCACAACCTTGAGTTCGATTTTGACGTAATTCAATGACGTTTCTAGTGTTGCCATATGAATAGGTGACAAAAATTATGACAGTATTGCCGTACTCAGGTTTTATTATATAACGCTTGGCCAGTAATGGATGAAAGGACTCTTGCGTCTTCATACTATACCAGTCCAGTTTTTGAGCGCTACTGGGAGTGTAAACCAGGCTTAATTAAAAAATTACGGGACGGAAGCAAAGAATTTTAAAAATTATATTAGTTTTAATTTATATGTGTGCGCTAAACTAGGTCTTAAATACCCATCCACAATAAATTGCGTATAGGGTAAATAACAAGGCATTCCTAAAAATTAGATTGATGAAATCCTCGATATTAGTGACCCTGAGTTGAGTCATGTAGTTTGAAATTTAGTTTTTAGGAAGGCACGAAATAAAATGACAGTATTGTTATAAATGTTTTATTAATAACCAAAAACCTTTAAATTAGCCGTCCTAAAATAAATATTATTCATACAACACTCGAACCATAACGTCGCACGTCCAAAGCTGCATATCTGTAAAAAAGTTAAACAATATATATATATGGTTCCTCATTAATAAATATTATTATTTGTTGAGTAAAGTCAGTAAAGTTTTAATCTTTCCTCAAAAATATTCAGAACAGGTCTGTGAAGTAATCATCATAAAATTTTTGCAATATTAAATTTAACCAACAGCATAATTAGACATCAAATGTTTTACAAAAGCAATATAATTTTAGAAAAACATGCTCACCACTTTAGAAATATTTGTTCGGAAACTCATTCAATCCTAACTTAAGTGTACCTAAAAGAAAAAAAAAACAATTATTATGTAAACCAACACAATGTTAAAATGAAAAATTAATGAAATCCTCAGTCCTGTTGAGCTTGTAAATACCATCACGATGGCATCAGGGGAAATTTTAACATCATAATCAAGTTAGCATTTATTTTATGACTACTATGGCCGGTTTCCCAGTTACCTTTAACTGTTCGTAAGTGTTATTGACTCCATA